GTTGCTTTAATATGTTAACTCACTTAATCCTCACAACAAGCCTACAGATAGGGGAACTGAGACATGGGGGGTTTTATTAACCTGCCCTCTTTCACTCAGCTACAGGTGAGTTCAACCTGGACCCCACAATCACCATAACCAGTGGCATGATCTTTCAAATTTTTGCAAGAGCCATAGACTTGGGGATGAGATGAGGGTGAGGGACCCTGCCTCACCCTCAGGATAATGAACATAAGGATGGAAGGGAACGGGAAAACTCCCTAAGGGGCTCTCACCATAGCAACCAAAGTTAACCCTATCTGGAAAGTTCCCTGTATGCCCCATCTTCACTCCTGGTGGGAAGGGGATCTTGTTCACACAGTAACAGATCAGAGTCATGCCCGGGGAGGTGAGCAGTACTCGCCAGAAAAGAGCTATGTTCTGAAGAAGACAAGTGCCAAGTTGGAATAAGGAAAAGCTCTACCTGTCTGGGACTCAAGATTTGGGGCAGAAAGGAGCCAGGACTTCCAGGGAGAGGACAGAAGACTTTAAAAGGCATATGGGATGAGTAGCAAAGGAGAAGATGCTTCCGGGCCCCTGTGGCAGTTTTAAAATATGACTGCAAATTCCTTGACACTCCTATCATCAGAGGGTGGGGGCTCAGCCTGTTCTGAATCTGGGCAGTCTGTGACTGCTTTGATCAATAGTGTGTGGCAGAAGTGAGGCTAAATGGAGTTTGAGGCCAGACTATAGACAGACTTTCAGCTTCTTCTTTCTCCATTGGTCTCCCCCCAAGGCCGCCATATTGTGAGGAAGCCCAAAATACATGAAGAGACCACGTGTCAACATTGCAGCTGTGCCCAGCCGTCCAGTCCTCCTGGCCCAAGCACCAGACATGTGGATGAAAAGGGCTCCAAGTGATTCCACCCCCAGGCACTCCAGTCATCCTCAACCGTTCAAGTTTTCCCAGAGAAGGCTGCAGACATTATGGAATAGAGAAAAGCCAACACCATTGTACCCTGTCTAAATTCTGGCCCACAGAATCCATGAGCAAAATACAATGTTTCTATGCCCCTAAGTTTGGGGGTATTTTATTACACAGAAAGAGATGAGTAAAGCCATCCCCACCCTGGCAGACTCCATTTAGACTGAAAGGCCAATAAGAGCAGGATAGAAATATGCACACTTAGGCACCACGCATCTATAGACAATTGCAAGGCATAACATTGGAGCAAATGACTTTGGGAAACATTGAATTAAATAAGATTCTGACCATGAGTGAGAGCTTTTAACAACCTGCTGTACCGTGCACCTGTCCAAGAAGGAGGTATAGATTATGAGTGGGTCACGATGTTTGCTGCTTCCTTCCTACTTCTAGTAAAAGCAGCCAGTCTTTCCACTGAGAAAACACCCCCTCCCTCACTCCCAGCCTACTGAGCTGTCACAATTACAGTCATTAATTATAGATAATTCTTTAGAAAGACTTTCTGAATATTTCTGAGTAATTGAGTTACGAAACTTTCTATTGTGGAGATCCTGAATCATTCACACAAGTTAAGTTCCCACAATTGCTTCTTTGTGAAGAGAATTATCCCTGTAGTTCACTGGAATGCCTGTCCTTCGGCAAAATTCTCCCAGGATTCTGAGGGCCCAGCAGAGCCCCTGGATGCTATAACCCCTGGGGTCACCATCTCAATCCATCTGGACATTGCAAAGAAAACAAAAAATTTCCCATTTTAGATGTATTTTGCCAGAGTTAATGCGCTAAATGGCACTCAGAAAGTAACTGTTGAAATACCTTCATTCCTTTGAATGTTTTCAAATACAAAGAGTGAAGGCCGTTTATTTCCCAGCATGTCTCATCAGCCCGTTCCCACCAGCTGCCCCTCAGGTCCTGGAGAAGAGTCAACCTCTCAGAAGCTAATTCACATATATGGTCCTAACAGCATTTTCTAGAACTTCTGGTTACTCCTGATGCATCTTGTCCCTGCATTCCCTCCTCGCCCTCCGAGGATGCTGTGAGAAGCTGAGTGGGAAGAATTTGCCAATTATCGGCACAAGGGTGTTGAACTCTGGGGAGAGGCAGACTTCATCCAGTTGGTCCTGAATTCACAGGACAGATGGACCCACAGGCTCACTTATAAACAAAATTCCTACTTGCAGCCTTCGGGAATGAACATGACTCACTGCAAAGATTTCTGGGAAAGTCAGCGATTTGCCCAGCTGCTGCCTTTCCCATGTGGTGTTATCAGCTAGGAGGCTGCGGCACGGCAGCAAAGTGTTGTCAGAAAGCCTCTCAGACCTGACCCGCAGTCAGTCAAACATGGGCCGTGCCTCAGTTTCCTCATCTATAACCTGAGAATAAGAACAGCCCCCGTCACCCTGGGCTCATCTGAGGCTGGAGAGGTCATACCCATTGCCATGGAGATGAATGCGTTGGGTACCATCTCTCTACCTGGGTTGGCCGGAGCCTGTGCCTCCCCACAATTGACAATTTTTGCCGGGTTGTTCAACAGGCATGTCCCATTAAACTAGAAGCAAACTGGGTCCCTTGTGTCCCCACTCTGGTCACAGGACATAGAGCAATGAGCATGTGTATGAATGAGAGGATTCACGGTCCCATCACATGTAGCTGACCCAACCCAGGAGGCCCTCCTACAACGCATTTCCAGCAGCTTCCAGGGAGTGCTGCTACCAATGCCAGCCTCCTACTTCCTCCACACCCTCTGCAGTCATCAGTCAGTTCACAGAACCCCAAACTGGCCCTCGGTTTTAGTAGAAACAGGGTGTGCCCCACATTTCTCCAGGAAATTCTGCATGATCTGCAAGTCTCCGTATAGTTTTTCTATTTTCCTGGGGATGAGTGAAAAACAAACAAGCAAAACATTCTTAAGATCACAGTGTGGTATTATTTTTTAATCCCCCCTTTACAGTACCTAGAATCTAGTGAAAATGATAACATATTGAACAGTAACTTTAAAAAAAAAAAACAACAGAGCACACATCAGCTTTAAAAAAGAGCACTTTATTTTAATAAAGAATAAAGGAGATCAATATATTTTTAAATGCATACAAAAATAAATATTCATCCAGCATATTAAAGATGTATGTTTTGACATTCATTTGAGCTACAAACTAAAGCCTATTTACCAGTATCTCACAAAATTTCAGAAAAGAGCTGTTATCCTTAAAGCTGTAATGCTCACTTGGTTGGCCAAAGGCGAAGAGCCACTTTGACTGAAGTTTTCCTACGTGCCCGCGTGGATTCCGGCACATCCGAAGGCCCTGTCATTGTTAAGCTGGCTAGTGCTACACCTGCATCACCCTCGCAGCAATAATGGGGGGAAATAAACAGGCATTCTTTGGCCTTTCAGATTTTAAATCGGGGACTTTTGTTATTCAAGGCCACCAGATTGGCTGAGCGGGGGCAATTTGTCCCTCAAATGCCAACTCTCCCCATTTCTTCACATTCAATGTGAGTGTTTCACATCGATGGGGTGACATGTCCTTTCATGGTAAGATTCTGAGTCAGGGGTGGTGACGACCCAGGCTGTGTGACAAAGGGAAAAGAATACAGAAAAGATGCTTCTCCCCACCCCCAGGAGAGTGGAAGCAAAGCAACCGCGCCCTCTCAACCCCCAAACCCGCCTGGTGCACCCACGGTGGGACTGACTCGGCCAGACCAGCAAATTGCACCACCAAGAAGTGGGGCAGGCGCTCCTCACACGCGTGGGTGCCAATGTCTGCCAGGCCCGGTGCAGCACACAGGGGCCACACAGACAAGAGGCACCCCAACCTGGCAAAATACAACACTTATTTAGAAAAAAAAAATGTTCAAGTGCTCTTTGATCCTGAAAGCGGTTTAGAGGGGTTGTGGCGATGTGGTTTACTGCTCACTGGAGGGTCTGAGGTAGCGTGAACTGCCCTCTCTGTTAAGCCAGGCCATTGGTTTCAGTCTTCTGTCCCTGGCTTTTGATTAGCATCAGGATTAAACTGGGACTTCTCCATGGAAATCCCACTAGATGGCTCTACTGAAGAATTTGGTGTGCAGTGGGGGCGTGGAGGAGTGGTAGCGATGGGGGAAGGCATTCCCCCAGCCACAGCTCACCCCAAGACCAGTGTAGTGGTGACAGGCAACACGTGTCGTCCACATCCCCAATCCACTCTAGCCATGGCTTCACACTCAACACCACCGGCTGGTGAATGGAGTGACTGAATCAAGGTACAAGCAAAAGGCTCATAAAATCCACAATTATACAAGGTGTCCCCAAAAAATGTAGACACACTTTGAATAATTATTAATTCCAATGGGTTAAATATGAAAAGAAACAGCAATTGAGCTGTCAGCTGTTAAAGTGTGCAGACATTTGGGGGAGGGAAGGACACCCTTTATTTTGAACGCGTGCTTTCTATCCTGCCCACTTTATGGAAAGAAGGGGGGGGGAAGAAAAGCTGCAAAGCAGTTTATAATTGGACGATTAAAATTACAAATATTTTAAAAACAGGTCAAAACCATTTAGAAAGAAGCAGCCGGAGAGGTTATCTGGGATGACTTCATTACAGAAATGAAAAAATACATTTAGCTCTAAGCTTCCTGCAACAGTGTGCCGAAGGGAAACCTTCCGCTGTCTGAAAATCAGAACACACCAGGTCACACGGTGACGGAAACGCTTTCCTAGCACCGGATTCCGGGAAGAATGTACATTCTCCAAACTCGCCAAGAGCGCTTGCTTTCACTTATTAAAGGGAAGCTTAATAATACTTATTAAAGTACTTGTTAATGTATTTTTAAATCTTATCAACATGCTTAAAAGTCCAAAAGCACCTCACATCGAATCAAGCACATGAAATCATAAATCTATAGCTCTAACAGAAGATAAAGACGGAAAGCAGACTTGTCTTCACAAGTTGGTCCCCACGTTTCTTTACTGCAAGCAACGAGGTGCTAGTCAAAGTGAATGAAAGCCTTGGGAAATATCAATTATCCCAAAATGCTGAAGGATCATAGCAACTAATGATAATTAGGGGACAATACAGGAAACAAACGTTTTAATCAGAGGTTCTAGTTACACCATGCAGACCACTTGGTGTGAGCTTCTGAACGATAGAACTTAGACACAACTTCGCTTTGAACGTGGAGCCCTCAGAGAACGCCCTTACTAAATTAAGAGCAGAGTGAGGCATCCCACCCCAGGTCAGAGGGATCTATATCCTTAAATAATTACAACAGTAATTGTAATAATGAACTGTGAGATGTGGGCGGGGTGGGGTGCCCAAGAGAGAGACTTAAACTGTGATCTGTTGGTTTTCTCTGAAAAAGGGTCTCTGGTGGGAGGCACAAATATCTGGAAACATCCGGAAGACCTGGTCTGGCTGGGGCTCCTCGGGAGCCTGCATCATGGACCCAGCGCCACAGGTCTTCATGGCTTCTTCCACCAGCTGCCGGACATAGAGTTGCTCGATCTAGAGGGATGGTGCACAGGTCAGAGTTGGAGATGGGAAGTGAGGTGGGACTTCCTTTGACCCCAGCCAGATTCTTGGATTGCTCCCGTCTAAAGCTAGCATGTGAGTCCCAAATGAATGAACCCCGAATAAGGAGATGCAAAGAAAGAGAAAGCAGTATCCCTACAAAGACTCCTATGTATGCTTTTTCAATATTGTCCCCCACTTGGCTAGCCAGTGTCCAGAACTCCACTATTAGAGCTGCATTCCTTTGACGGCGGTTAAATAAGGGCTTGTAAAACCCTTATTAAGGTCACTTAGGCCTTAAGGCAGGGTGGAATCCTTCTGGAAAGGAGGTTTTGATTTTGAAAAACAAACCACACAAAGAAAGGGCAGGGGAGAACACAGACTGTGAGAGTCCTGGAGCAGGAGGTGGCTCGGCAGTGGCAAGAATCCATTGCTGCCACGTGAAGGTCTCGCCAGGCCTGCCCCTGCTGCCTGTTCTTCACCCCAGTCCCTGCTGCCTGTTCTTCCGCCCAAGGATAAGCTGGGTCCTGATGTGTGGGCTGGGAGATCTGGCCACAAGCCCTGAAGCTGCCTGTTCTTACCTGCACGAGGATGAGTTTGGAGCGCAATGGGGTCATATCTGGAAACTCCTCTCCGAAGCACAGCACCACCCTGCTGTCGGGAAGCCGGCTCTGGTTGTTGTAGAAGTGCTGCAGCTCTGGAAAGACACGAGGAGGAAGGGCGGGCGTTTGCAACTCCTCGATGCTTTCACACCTGAGCTCACACACGCCACCTCGCCCACCTTGCCTGGGCCCCTTCTCCGGGAGGCCTCCAGGAGTTCTCAGGCCAGGAGGCGGGAGAGCTGTGCCACTAGCTCCTGGCTGTAAGAGTGAGAGAAGCAGAGAGCTTTGGAGCACAGAGAAGGGTTCCCAGGCAGTGCTGCAGGCAGCCTGACTGATTGGTTTCGGACACCCTGACCCCTAGGAGGAACACACACAGTGGGAACCGAATTGTATGCCTCACAGAATAACCATGGCTGATATGCAGCACTTCTGTGTGGGGGCGTGGTCCCGAGGACTCAGTGTTTACAAGGTCCACACACACAAACCCCCGGGGCCTGGCCAAGATGCAGATTCTGCCCCAAAGGCATATGGAAGGAAATGCTTTCTAACCAGCTCCCAGGGTGTAGGGACAGTTCATACAGAGCTGCAAGGTGCTAAGTTCCTAATGCTCCCAACAGCTGTTCGAGGAAGCTGCTGTACTGCTCCTCTCATTCTACACGCCGGAAGTCCAGGCATGGAGAGGTTTCCCCAGGATCACTCAGCAAAAGAAAGTGCAGAGGAGAATTCAAGTACAGGGGGCACCCCTGCTGCAGCTGTGCCTCTAGCCCCTACATATCCCCATGGGGACTGTGGGCGACAAATGGCCCTGGGAAGAAGGCCTGATCTTTAAGATACAGGCAGCAGCCCAGACGGCGTGGCTCAGTGGTTGAGCGTCGACTTGTGAACCAGGAGGTCACAGTTCGATCCCCAGTCAGGGCACGTGCCTGGGTTGCAGGCTCGATCCCCAGTGTGGGGCGTGCAGGAGGCAGCTGATCAATGATTCTCTCTCATCATTGATGTTTCTATCTCTCAGTCCCTCTCCCTTTCTTTCTGAAATAAATAAAAATATATTTAGGGGGGAAAAAAGACACAGGCAGCAAGGTGACAGTGTACAGACCTCGGAAGAACTGACTGGTGTCGAAGACCTTGACCACCTCGTCGCGCTCCAGCTTGTTGGGCCTGTCCTTGCACAGCACGGCGTTGCCGCTGTAGAACACGCGGCCCTGGCACAGCCGCTTGACCAGCACGCCCTGCCGGTTACTGTGCAGCACCACGCCTCGCTCCAGGTGCCCGAACAGCTTCCGCGTCACCTGCCTCTGCCGCTCGCTGGGGATGGTGTCCGCAGGCGGGAAGCGCACCAGCTCCAGGCCCTCCGACCCATACAGCTTGGTGCTGGGCAGGCCCGGCTGGCTCAGGGACAGGCAGCAGCCCTCGGGGCAGGTAGTGGTGGTCTGGCCCACCAGCTTGCCCCCGTAGTAGAAGCTGATGACCATCTGGGAGAAGACTGTGGGGAAAGGGGGGGACAGGTCAGGGGCTGAGGGGAAGGGGGTTCCCTGGTCCTTCCTGGGGAAATGCCCAGAGCCTTTCTTCCTCCCAAACTGGGGGAGCCTAACTGTCTGTGTGTCCAGGACCTTTCTGGCATTCTGGGAAGTTCATGCACTCTTTCTAGAAATAATAATTTTATAAGCCTGAATAAGCACACAGAATTGCTAAGGAAACCAATGATTCCAAATATAGAAAACCATTAGAGTGAGCTCCCTACCACTGGGAAGGGCTGACAGCTGCCACAATTTATCAGTCACCCTGAGAGTGACGAGGTTTGAACAACTTACTCTCCTAGGAAACTGGCTCCCCCTCACAGGCACTGCTATACCACTGCTATGTTATAATATGTAACATCGATTCTTAATTTGAAATCCAGGGGACTGTGAATTGGTCAAGAAAAAAGATATCTCTTTATTTTCACTAACCTCGAATTCAGACCTAGCATATCCTTCCATTATGAATGTAGACAACAGGCTACATTGTTCTAGAGTATATACAGCTATAGAACTAGGCAACCGTGTACAATACATGTATGTCTATGCTCTCAATCTCTGATCACTGAGAAACAAAGCCCCGCTTTGGTGCCGGCAGATCTTTAACACTCATGCTGACAACCTCCCTCTAACCAAGGGGCAGGCTTTGGCCAGAATCTCTAAACAGAATATCTGGTCTTCAGTGAATGTGCTTTGACCTCTGACTTCCTACTTATAGCAGTGACACTGGTTCTCCTTTTCCAGGCAATGACAGATGGCCCCCATTTTACAGTAAATTTAAGTTTTAAAAAGATGTAGAGAAAAACAGGACATTCATGATAGTCCAGGGGATACCCAGATATGAAAACCAAAGTGTGAAAGGTGGGGCTCAAGTGTCTAAAGTTTGGGAACCTCTAAACTAAGGGAGGAATAAAGACAACAGCTCAATTCAGGGATACTCCTAGAGAAATCTGCATTTTAATAGCCTTAAACTATGAGAAGTACATGCGCTATCAATGAGCTTGGTGAGTTTGGGGAACCCTTTAAGACCAATCTGGGGCTGATCCCTTGAGCCACATGAGCTGTGAGCTGCCCAACGCCATGGTGCCCCCTACACTTGTGCAGCGCACACCTGCACAACCGTCAGGGGCAGCCCTGTGGGGGCCACCTACCTCAACTGGGTTCATGCTGCTGTGCACTTACAATTCCCTGGACGCTCCTACGGGCTTTGCTCAAGAATCATTTGCTCAGTCAAATACTAGGACTCCCCACAGGCTCCATTTCCTCCCATGTTGGCGTTAATGGGAGTCTAGACTCACGCAGGGCCTGGAATCAGAGCTGCAGGGGCTCCAGTCCAACTCATTTATTTGATATTTGGGGAAACTAAGGCCCAGATGGAGTCACCCAGTATGTAAGAAGCAGCACTAGCATCCGACTCCCTGTGTCATTACCCCCCACTCACCATCCTCCCACCTCCAAGTCTGCCATGTCCGCATCGCCTGATGACTTGACACATTCCACTTCCTTCACTCTGAAACAATTCTGAACTTTGTCCCAATGGATGAAACACACCAGATGACTCTGCCGCCACTCTGCCCCTTTGCCCTGTCATGGCTGTGGCCTTATTTCACTCTAGTGTCTCTTGCTGTATGAACTTCAGGAGCAATGGACAGGTGTGCCAGATGTCCAGGCAGGGCTGTCCTAATGACCCCAACGCCAGGGGACAGCTTAGGCTCAGAGGAGATTCAAGCCAGAAGGGCCTGAGCCATGGCTCACTGTGCCATACAGGCGAGCAGTGGAGACCCACAGAGCAGAAGCCACTCATCAAGGGCCTCCAGTTACTCAGTCCAGCCCTTGGCAATCCTAAGGTTGCAGGACGCTGCAACCCTGTCCTGCTCCCGTTACATCCACCCGCCCACCAAGGACAGCCCTGCCAGGGGACAGTCTGACCACAGTGGCAGCAGAGCTCACACTCTGTATCTCAGCTGTGTGACCTTGGGCAGCGGCTTCCCTACTCTGTGCCACAGTTTCTCCATCAGCAAAGTGGAGATAATAATACTCCCACTTCACTGGGTTACTGTGAGGATTAAATGAGCTTGCATTTGTACTTAGCATATGTCAGCACCGTATAAGTGGTTATTAAACAAATTGGGGTAACAGGACAAAAGATTAGCTATATAGATGAGACCCTGAAGTTATAAGCCACAGTCCCTGGTCTACACAGCACATCCCAAGTGCTGTTCCCAGTGCTTTAGACCTATTAGCACATTTAATCCTCACAACAATCCCATGAGGTAGAGACTATTAAAATTATACCCATTTTCCAGGTGAGAAAACTGAGTCATAGACAGGTTAAGGTGATTGTTGTCAATGGCACGATTGCTAATTGGGGAGCCTGGATGCACTCCCTCCCTAGCAGACTGGCTCCACATCTGAGTTCTTTTTTTTTAATTGATTTGAGAGAGAGATAGGGAGAGGGAGAGAGAGAGAGAAACACTCATCAGTTGCTTCCCATATCCACCCTGACTGGGGATCGAACCTGAAACCTGGGTATGTGTCCTGACTGGGAATTGAACCAGTGATCTTTCGGTGCATGGAACAATGCTCAACCAACTGACCCACACCAGCCAGGGCACAACATCTGTATTCTTAAGCTCCAAGTCACACTGTCAGTTTCAAACATTGTACTTCACCCCAATTATTTCAAATACATACAGTTAAGAGCACGAACGGCAGCCACAGACATGTGTGGATCCACCAGCACAGTGAGGTGCTGCTCACACAAATTTGCTGCCAACCTTTTATATAGGAAAATTTCACCTAAAAATCCACACCTCTGGTTCCTAAAATGGGAAAATTGAGCCTGGCTGGGTCTGTAAGTCCACTGGGCAGGAACCACAAGCAGCCCAGAGGAGGGTGGCCCCTCCACTTTGCCACAGTCTCTGCCACTCCCTGTTGTCCTTCTCCTGACACTTCACCATTATATCGCCTGTCCCTATAGGGGTAAGAACTGGGGGCTCCTGACAACTTATTTACATGGGGGGAGGGGTTGTGTGAACCGAGCAGAGGTACCAAAGTCCACAACTTCTAGAGCAGCGGTTCTCAACCTGTGGGTCGCGACCCCTTTGGGGGTCAAACGACCCTTTCACAGGGGTCACCTAAGACCATCGGAAAACACATATATAATTACATATTGTTTTTGTGATTAATCACTATGCTTTAATTATGTTCAATTTGTAAGAATGAAATTGGGGGTCACCACAACATGAGGAGCTGTATTAAAGGGTCGCGGCACTAGGAAGGTTGAGAACCACTGTTCTAGAGGATCGGTGTAGGATTCTCTTTGCGAGTCATTCCACCTGCTGTGTGCTGAGACAGCTCTGGAATAACTGAGGAAGCTTCCTCCTCAGACCATGTCTTCTCGCCCAGACACTGCCAGACTACTCTCCTGCCCCCGGGAAGCGCTGGTCAGCAGACTCCCGGGGCCATAGCCCACAGCTAACCAGGTCAAAGGCCCGGTCCCATGACCCAGGGCCTCCAGGAGCTGAGCCTCTGGTGAGCATGGTGGCTGACCAGCATAAATCTAAAAACAGACTTGAAGCCAGATGCCTGGGTTTGAACCCAGCAACCCCACTTACCAGCTGTGTGATCTGAGGTGAGAGATTTAACCACTAAGCCTCAGTTTCCTCATCTGTGAAGCCAGAATTATAACAGTCCCCGCTCCCAGGGCCGCTGTGCAATGGGCAAGGGCTCGATGAATGGGAGCATCGTTTGCTTTACAATTTTCTTGCCTGGGTGAGAACCTGCCTCTTCCACCCAAAAACACTCATCCCATGAGGGCCGTGGTCAAGGCTCTTCTCTCTGCGCCCCGTTTCCCCCTCTGTGCCAGGAGGCCTGGGGTCTCCGGCCCCAACATTATGTGGCCCATCTTGAGGAGTCAGGCTGCCCCCTTCTCACAGAACCTGCCGCTTTGGGGGAAGACACCAGCTTCCTTTGCTCTGAAGACACCATCAACGAGCCTGAATGTAAATTCCAGGAGCCACTGGCAGGAACTCGGTCCGAGTCCCCAATGTAATTAGACAACAATGTGGCACAGAGACCACCTCTGTCATCTGGGGCAGGAGCAGGGATGGAACAGCCTGGGGCCACACCCTGCTCTGTGGCCCACAAGTTATGTGATCAGGGGTTTCTGAGCTGGTGAAACGGAAATAACAGCACCTACCTAGGGGTGGTGGAAAGTGATGATGAGATTAGGCCATGAAAGTCTCACTGATGATCCTGGACCCAGTTAGCATTCACTAATGTCAACCACCACCACCATGAAAGTCTCACTGATGATCCTGGACCCAGTTAGCATTCACTAATGTCAACCACCACCACCATCATCACCAACATCATCACCACCATCATCATCTTTATCACCATCATTACCATCACCATCACCATCATTACCATCATCATCACCACCATCATCACCACCACCATCATCACCACCATCATCTTTATCACCATCATCACCATCATCACCACCATCATCACCAGCATCATCGCCACCATTATCGTTATTAGCATTGTTATTGTTATAAACTTAGGTGGGAGAGAGTAAAACAAACTGTCACTGGTGACATCCATTGACCAATATGTCCCTACCAGAAAGTTTTAATAACACTGTGTTTGACCCTCACAACATTCCCATGAGGTAGTTGCTACTGTTGTCCCTACTCTACAGATGAGAAGCCTGAGGTCCCAAGTGGTTCAATTACTTTGCCTGGGGTCACATGACAGGGGCAGAGCTGGGCCTTGAGTGTGTCTGTCCCCACACTCTTTCTCCCCTATAGTTACACCTGCAAAGAGCTCTTCTGATCTATTTGTTGGTCCAGTCCAAGAAGACTCTCAAAGAGGCCAGCCACTTGCTCACTCCCAAACCAAAAGGAGGAATCAGGTGCCCGACTTCTGACACCAGATCATGCTCATCCAGGGGCCCTCAAGAACCCACACAGGTCCTTCGAGTTTTGTCTTCAGAATGCCCCCCACCCGGCCTGGCCCAGAGCACTTCGTACCTGAATGCTGTGCATCATAGGCGGCGTAACCCGGCACCAGCGGCAAGCCTGCTGGAGGAAGAGAAAAGCAGACTCAGATCCAGCCACACTCGGTTGTGTGCAGGGGAAGCAACCCAAATGCTCCCCCTCTCCAAAAGTTTCTTAAAAAGCCGCATATGGCGTGCTCCTGAGGCCCTGCCACAGGCTTCCGCTGAATTCGGTGTTTTTCCCTCTCAGTGCGGCGACCTATGTTTCATAAACGCAGAAAACCAGACCTCAACCCAACCAGCATGGAGGGGGGAGACTTCCTCTGTGCTGTGGGATTTCTGACCATGTGTCAGTGTGACATTGTGGGGCCACGCTTCCTTCCCCCTGCTCCCAAAATACCGGGGGACTGCGTGTCCACCAGCCAGGGCTTGACTTGAAGGGGAGCCCAGCCCGAGCTAGCTTTCTCAGAGGTGCTGCTGGCACAGGGAGGGGGGCTCTCCAGGGCCCCTGATTTGGCACCACCCCACACCCACAACCGTTGAGGCCCATTAGGCTAGCGACCGCCTCCGGGTCTCCCACAGGGGACAGTGGGGGAGAGGCCAAGTAAGGGAGCAAAGGCACTCATGCTCCCGGAGGGAGGGTCATTTCAAGCAGTGGTGGAGGGGGCGGGTCGTCAGGAGCTAATAAGAAGGTGAATGCCTCATTTAGCTTCCAGGCCCTGTAGGGTCAGTCCTGATGTCTCCATTTGTCATGAGGAAACTGAGCCTAATATACGATATGCAACTTCTGACAGGGGACTCAAATCCAGGGCTGAGCGAGCAAGTGCCCGTTCCGGAGCTCTCCTGCTCTCCAGCCGCTGCTCTGGGCTGTGCTTGGCTCTGAGAGGTCCCTAATGTCTGAAGAAACTGGATGGAGGACTGAACAGACCTAACGTGGCCCAGAGCTGTGAATCCCCTATGGTCCTGGAGAAGTTCACTGCACTCCCTCCCCTCTGACCTCCCCAGGAGCCGCGCAGGAAGCAGACACCTCCTATGGGAAGGACACATGTGTCTTCCTGGGAGGCAGTCACCACCAATAAAATAGAGATCATAGCAGTACCCCCATCCGGTCCCCACCCCACCCCGGCTGCTATAAGGCTGAAACCATTCAAACACGTCCAGCCCCCAAGCACTGGGAGTGGTCTGGACTCCCATCCTCACCTGCGCTGGGCTGCTGCATCCACCAGTCTGGGAGGAGCTGATTCCTGCAGGCCTCAGGCGGGGAAGGGCTCCTTTTGACCATCCCCATGTACTCATCCACAGGACGCTGTGCGACCGGGAACAAGACAGAGAGCAGCACAGTCACTAGGCTTCCAAAGCAGGACCCCAGAGTTGTAAAGATGAAAGACTAATGCTTAACTAAGACCATATTGTCACCGTTAGCTCATAAGACAAAAGGGAAGTTTTACTTGTATCTTGAAAGATCCAGGATGCTCAGTGATCAAACTACGTAACTGAATTACTAACCTCTTCAGGGCCCTTAATAATAAGGTTATTGACCTTTTCCTAAAACTGCCTGTTGCTGGTTCTGGGAACCCAGCGCCCCTGACACTGAATGGACTCTGCCACGCTTTCGTGAATCTCACTCAATACACCATGTCTCAACTCCCCATCTCGGACCCCTTTCTTAAAGGAGGTTGGTAAATCCAGTTAGGAAACGTTTTTGAAATCTGCTTTTCCTGTGATCCTGGTGCACCAATCCTGTTATTTCACTCTCTTCGCTGAGTCAGCAGAAAAGCCTCATGGAAAACGGGACATAGTTGGAGTGACAGGAAACCAGGAATTCCGCTGATCTGCTGCCAAAGACCACGCAGACACGTAAAAGCTGCCATGTACAGAAAAGTCAGGCAGCTCAGAGTAGATTATATTTTGTTATCTGCATTTCCTGACCACCAAGCCACTCCCAAGGATTCTAGCATTGCTATGTGAATTAAGAAGAATTTATATAGCACCCCCACCACCTTTTACAAGGGCTGTGTGGGATTATTTTAGCTATGCAATGTCCACCCTGTAACAGCCATAAAAACATAGTTAAAAGGCTAAAGGTAGAAGAAAATGGCACCCAAAGAGCTAAAATTGGTATTCAAATACCCATTGCCTAGGACCCCATTAAGCCTTTACTTATAGCCTATTAACTATGACTTTACGTACAATTCTAACAAGCTTGGTTATATGGCGTTCTAACCCATCAAGGATGAAAAGCTGTGTATTGGAAGACGGGCAGCCCACCAGCCATGAAAGCTAGTACAATAATCATGCCATAGGAACAACCCTAAGCAGGAAGGAAAGTTCCCATATTGTTCACTGCAGCATGCTAAGAAGGTACGAAAATATAGGGTGCATTACAAAAGACTGGCATTCAGAAGGTTTAAGTATGAAAATCCAGAGCTTGGGGGAGCATCACTGACACAGAGCAAGCACTCTCCCCAGCCCTTGGGATTAAGGACTGGACACCAGGCGAACGGGCTGACCGGCTGGCGGAGGCTGGCCTCACACAGGTGGCCCAGTCCCCACGTTCTCTCTCTGCTGGGGCAGAGACAAGGTTTGCTGGGAGAGCCTGAGACTCTGGATGTCTTGGTAGAGCAAGAACAATGCCTTCTGCTGTCGGGCCAGACCTCCGGAAACGCTGCCCCACTTACCTCCTTGATCAGCTCATCAATTTCAGAGTGACCACATTCCATCTCAGTGACTTCATTCACACAGCCAGGAGTCGACACGCCTAATTTGCCTATGGAAAAGCAGACAAACATGACAAAATGTGGCCAGAGCTCTGAGGCATCCCTACCATCACTGAGGCCATCAGTGGTTTGTTTCTAAATGCTGAGTGGAAGGAAATAAAAGTATCTTCCCTGGTTTGGGAAAGGCCTAGACATTTTTTTCCCATGCTTCTTCAGTCATCTGATCAGCAGAATCAAAAGAGAGAAGTTGGTTGTTGTTGTTTCTAACACTTAGAGGCCAAAGAGCACTTGGGTCTCTTCCTTCTGGTTGTGGGGATCTCAAATGAATGCATATCAGAGCCCCTTTACACCAGGTGTCTACCGCCCTGCAGAGGTTAAATTTACAAGCTGGGGCACTTGTAGGCACTCAAAGGTTTCCTGGCAAAATATGTTTGCAGGTTAGATTCTTTTTTTTTTAAGTTAATTGGCAGGAAATCTCCTTTTAGCCTTTCCAAATATATCAGTACACGTGTGCATCTGCACACACACACACACACTCCACGCACATGCACGGCACGGCAAAGACTCACCCAGGCCCAGTTCGAACCTGCCTCCGTCAGGAATCACTAAAGGCACGTGAGCATTTCCACAACAAGCTCTCTGGATCAGGCTAGTCTCCTCCTCACTCTTATGCCTCTTCCCCAGCCATAAGTTTATCAGTGTGAGATGTATTATAACATTAGTCCCAGCGAGCTACAAAATTGGCCTATTGTTTCATCCTCGCTGAACTTTTATTCCACTTTGATAGATTCAAGAATTCACCTAGAAGCTGTTGATGGGGGAAGTAGGGGGCAGGTGGGGCACCCCCAATGTAGCTTGCAAACTACTGAAGTACAGAGGAGAATGGGTCCATGTAGACTTTATGCAAATGCCATGCCTCTCTGCCCCCACTGAGAACCTGCTTCTTTAACATCCACCCTTGCAGGTGATGCTGGCTGTGCCCCATCTATAAACAAGTTGGGGTCACCTGCCAGTTCAAGCTTGGCTGCTCCTGGGGGTAGAGGAGTAAGAGAAACTTCTCCATTACTTCAAACCACAATTTACTTTGTGGTGACAAAAAATATTTACATATTGGAAATATGTACATATTTCCAAAACTGGGAAATAAAGCAAAAAGATGACTGGCCTTTTGAAACCACTCCAGAGGATTATCCAAGAGGTCTCCCCTAAGGGTCATCTGATTGTCCAGGTCAGTTTGACTCCATACTGACTATTGATTAGACTTCAGACTCAGGAAAGCCAGGTGTTAATGGACAGGCAATTAAGCTAAAAACGACCAGCAGAAAAGATAACTCCCAAACTGCGGTGTAGTGCCAGCCTCCGCCTCCGACCTGCACTGACCATGTATGCCAGTGTGGCATATTCTGTCAATCAATCTTTGTCATCGAGCTGGTTCCCTCACTAATGAGTCAAGTAACTCTCTGATCCAGGTTCACCATATATTTGTTAGGGTCACAATTTTAACTTTTTTAAAATTACCCATCAACATTTTTAACCTTCCCACAGTGGGAAGAACTCAAACTTAGAATTTCTACATAGCCCTTACCAGAGAATTCTCTCTCTTTCAGGCCTTACTGGACTTCTTTGAAGGAGAAAAGGATGCCATGCCCATATTCTAATTGCTACATCTAATGGCTAAGAAAATCAATGTGTTAACAAATGTTTTAAACCAGAGGTGGCAATTAGATTTTATCTCATGGGCCAGCTCCGATTCATGGCAGCTGCACAGCACACCACTTTGAAAAGGATTCTGGGGCCAGATTCGAGCTCCATACATCCTGGTTGATTAGTGATGTCTGACCGGAGCATGGGTATCAGGCCTTGGGAGATGGGCAGCACGTTGTTGCTATCCCTGCTTTGAATTCTTCACAGATGCTTTCCTGGGATTACAGAGCTGGAAGAAACTTCAGGAATCATCACATCCTGAATTCCTAAACAATGACCAGGCTCTGACAGTGTTGAGTCATAGCAATGAAACTAAGTGTCATCATCCAAAAATTCATTCAAGAACTTCACTCTGTACCTCAGTCAGCCATCCCTTCTTTGTCCACCTGATGGTCCCCTAGCCTCCTCTCAGAGTTGCTAGAAAACAAAAGGAATTCCTTCCACACTGTCAGAGGATCCCCGCTCCTGCCCAATCTCATCCCTGAGTCCAGGGATATCCTGCAGCCTCCAGGCCAGCAGAGCTGGCTGCCACCCAATCTCCCGCCCTTTCCTTCCATCGGCGCCACCTCTCACTCAACTGGAAGCTGCCACTTGGTCAGCAGATGGCGGGTGAGGTCAGTGGGAAGAGAATTCCTTATACAAAGGAGAGAACTATTTTGTTTAGCTGAAACCACTTGCCCCAGACCCTGTGGGTGGGCGGCTTCCACCCTAGGCCTGGGCCTTGCGGCCTCTGTTGGACTGAGTGCCCATCCAGGATAGTTACATTTTTGCTCTTCCTCTGGGACGATGCGGTAAACTTTGTATGGCTCAGAAATGTCCAGCTGGGACCGGTCTGTCACTTCCTCAAAATCTGGACTCTTGTTTAAAGCGCAGCGTAGCCTTGTCTTCCATGTGGCTGGTTCAGCTTTGTCCCCTTCCTTAAATTTCCCTTTAAAAACCGCCCAGGCCTGAAAGGAGAGAAAGCAGTACATGAAACAGTCAGCCCCTCGGCCACAGATATCCATGGTCACCGTCCCCACCAGTACTTGCTCGCCCTCCTGAGAGCCATTTTTAGCCATCAACTCTCATTCAAGGAATTCCAGGCCTCAATCAGACCACTTTCTCGGACAGATGTAAAAAGACCCAGGCCAGGAAGGGGACCCCAAGATCTCCCAGCTGAGCTGAAACTGAAACTCAGGCCAACACAATTCCTTCCCTGGACCAGCGAGCCAGGAGGAGCCTGAGGTCAAGTAGCACAAGGAGGAAGTGCACATGGTTTCACTAGAATGTTCAAAACAAAGAACAATTTGTGTGTGTGTGTTTTTTTAATCAACCCCTGGCATGAAAATTTAGCATGAGAAGGAAACATTTGCAAAAATTCTGAGTGTGGTCATCCACTGACTGCCCTGCTACTTTTAATAGAAATTGTGTTTTGCATTTTGGCATTTATTCTAGCCTTCCCCCCCACCTCCCCAGGCGCTGTTTAAAATGCAATGAAATAGTCTCTCACTCTGTTGGGTTTTTCACAGCTCTGTTTTCTGACCTCTCCAAACCTTAGACTCTGAACTAGGAACAAAGATACAAAACTGGAAACTTAAGGTCAGAGGTAGAATGGGGCACTGTTGTTTGTTTGTTTTTAAATCAAAGGTGTGAAGGGACATAGTTTTAATTTCAAAATTGGAATACAGAACACACCAATTAGGTCACTACTGTCAGGTGAAAATAACCTTTGGCATTAGGCAGAATCTTCCAACCTAAAATAATACCAGAGCTAGAGGAAATTCTCAACCCCACTTGGGAAATTGCAATTCCAAGGGGTAACTTCCCGAGGTGACCCTGTATGGGATTAAATGCCAGCTGTTCTTGACTTAATGGCAATCCCCTGGGAGCTCATGAAATGCAGAGACCGGCTTCCAGCCTGCACTGAGTTCTTTCCAGGGTTCTCGGGCTGGGTCTAAGATATCACCCCGCTGGGAGATCTGTCAAGAACCCCTTAACTCAATTTCCACCCTGAACATTATGAAAAAGAAGCAAAATACTTTTTTAAAAAAAATAAGTATGAGCTGCTATCAGGGCCTCATCAGTACACCAGGGGTGGTACAAACTGCGCTCAATGTCCTTTCAATCTCCCATCTCTGGTCCCCTCCATGAAGCCGACCTCAGGATGACGCCTGCGGACAGTGAAGGGGTCTCTGGTATAAGTAGATTCTGAAGACCCACTTATTAAGGCAGAAAAACAAACTGGTTTTAACTCAGACATTTTTAAAAGGTGGTCTTTGTATGGAACTAAAGGGTGCTCCACTTCACCAGAAAAGCCCTAAATGGCTCTATCTCACCAAGGCCTGCCTGACTCCTTCCAATAGCGGGCACATTTGGCGGACAGAGAAACGCCCATCAGAGGATGGCGTGAGCTAGCGCAACTCAGAGATGGCTCCTTCCCACCTGTATTTCACCAGCCCAGGCTGTCACCCTCCCCGTGGCCGCCCAGCTCTGGGTGGGCGCCCTGTCTCCCTCCCGCCCCCATTCCTGCTGAGATTGTACACTCATTTCAGATTGCCACACTGAGCGACTGCGTAATCAACGGAAACATTGGGAATCTTGCACATTTTTCTCAACGCTGTTGAAACGGCCATGCAGAACATTGCATAAGATACATAAATCTGGGGCTTTATTTCATTACCCCCAGAGCAGAAGCTGAAGCAGGGAGCAGTGTGAAGGGAACGGCCTTGCATCTCCTCCAGCAAGCCACAAGCCGGGGTTATGCAGCCTACTGGTCCAGCCCTCTCTACTCTCCTCCTGAAGAAGTTTTACTGATGGTCAACCTGCGACTGTGCCCTCCGCACCCCACACTTCTGCTTCAATCTGCCCTTCCTGGCCATGGTCAGCTCCTCGAGGGGCTCCCAATGTGAAAGGGGAGAGCACGCCCCGGGGAGCATCTGGCAATGTCGGAGGCATTTTTGGTTGTCACATGTGGGGGGCAGGTGCTGCTGGCATCTCGTCGGTAAGGTCAGGCATGCTGCCAAATACCCCACAGTGCACAGGACGACCCCGCAACAAGGAACAATCTGGCCTTAGATGTCCAGCTGAGGAGCCCCGGCTGATAGCCATTGATAATCTAGAACAGCAGTCGCCAACCGGTGGCCCGCGGACCACTGGTGGTCTGTGAGGTCCGAAAGGTTGGCGACCGCTGATCTAGAACTCCCAGCTGACCAGGTGGAACCTAACACTGTTTAAATTTAGCTAGAGTCATTCCCAAGAGAAGTTCACCATAACGCTAAAGGTGAAAAACCTCTATCAGAGAGGAATCCGCATCCCCCCATGAATGAGAAAGGATGCACTAGCAGCTCAAAAACCTGGCAGAACCCAGACTACTGATCTGGGGTCCTTGATGGGAAAAAAAAAAATCTGCTGGACATGCAGGCCACATGGGACCCCTTGAAGGTGAGTGCAAAACATCCACAGGTGCCCACTCTCCTTGGAGAGCGCCAGTAGTTGGCATCCGATTCTCAAAGAGCCCTGCAACCCCAGGTGACAAACTTAATAGAATTGCTACATGTGTGGCCCCACTGCAAACGTCAGAAAGAGAACTGAAGGACGGAAATGCCTCATAAGCCAACTTTGACCTACTTAGACCCCACTCTGAGGCCAAGGTATGATCTTTGGTCATTTTGTGTCAGAAGACAGTCATCCCTGGCTGAGTCTGGTGTTGCCAAGGGGTCCCGCAGGGCCTCATTCCCCTCATTCATCCGAGGTCGCAGGTCTGGTTCTGGCCCTTCACAACTCAGCCTCTGCACTCCTCCTCCATATCACTCACTGTCCCCTCCCTGTCCCGGTTCGGTGGGCATCACCCCCAGAGCATAAGCTGAAGCAGGGAGCAGTGTGATGGGAAAGGCCCAAATGCCCACAGAACCAGCACACAGCAGCAGCAGCAGTTTGCAAACGGGGCTCTGAGTCAGACCACCTGTGGTGCATCTGTTTGCAAAAATGGAAGCCTGGGCTCACCTTGACTAGGGCTACAAGTCTCTTCAGGGGATGGAGACTGCACTTCTGGAGCCTTAGAGAAGCACCCCAGGGAGCAGGGCGGGTGGCGGGGGGGTGGGGGGGGGACAGGATTCTGGTGACCCACTAGGCTGCAGAGCTGTGCTGCTCTGGCTCCTGGCTCCTCGGCCTGAATCTAAGGGTACTAGGTGCAATGGCAAGAAACCTGTTTCTCAGTACTGCTGGAGCTTGGGAGTGTGGGCTCAGAGGGGGGCTGCCTGGGTTCAATGCTGGCTCCATCATCCAAGAGCTGTGAGATCTTAAACAGGTCACTTCTCCTCTCAGTGCCTCTACAGAACAAGGACAAGGACAGCACCTCCTGCAGAGGACTGTGTGAGAGGAAAACTCAAACCCTGTGGGGCCAGGCCTGCCACAGAGCAAACCCCCAACCAATGCTGGCAGTCACCGTGCAAATGGTAGAACCCAACAGCAAGTCCCTCAGTGCTTGGGGTGCTCACCATTCTCAAGGGAAGGAGACTATTTCTAGGCACCTGCAGCAGGACATCCCATCTGACCCAGGCCGGAAGCAGTGACAGATGGTGTCTCTCTCACTGAGCTGACCCTACATTGCCAACCAGAAGTTACTTTGCAAGAATGAAGAAAGTGTCCTTAATCTCATCAGAAAAGGCACCACTCTACAACTGACCTCAAAGTGATTAAATCACATAATAGCTGCAAAATCACATGGTATATTTTTTTAGACACATTCTGCACTCAATCAATGTTTGTTTTTAAAAATTGGGTTAATTTTCAAGCAAATAAGAAAAGTTGTCACTCAACACCTCCACCAGCCGGTGAGGGAAGACAGAAGCTACGCTCATGGTCAGGGGAGGGAAGCCCAGCCTTTACCTTGAAAATGGAGGCATCCACTTCCTGATTATAATCTTGTTTGCCAGCGTGTTTCCAAGGGATCCGGAACATGCTCTTCTCGTCGTTTTCCCAAATCAGCCCTGGGTACATGTTGCTGTCAATTTGCTCAATCAGCCACTGCCGAAGCCTCCGGCCTCCGTTCCGGTCACACATCCTTAGAAAGAAAATAACATATTCTCAGACATTACAAGCACTGTCTCATTCATCACAGCACCCCAGGTACTTAACAGCCCAGAAGAACTAATGGGAAAATCAGAGGGCGGCAACGCAGGGGCCAGCTGGGGGAAACCCGCAGATCCAGGACTCCGGCCGCCTGCCCTGAGAAGACAATGCCTGCCTCCAGGACTCAGAGCCCTGAATGAAAACCGAAAGCTCCCTGGGAACTCGGCAGCTGTCCTTCACCCAGAGGTTGGCCCCACCTACTGTTCTGGTTGTGTCCTTCCAGCTTTTACCCCAGGTTTCCTTTCAGGCACATCTAAGGCATCATTCCATTTTTAGCACGAGATAGGGAAAAGTCATTTTTACATTTGCAGGTCCCTTCCATGAGCACCCATCGCTCTAAGAGCCAATTCCACTGCTCGATGCCCCGTTTGACCAGTGTTCGTGAGCAAATAGGACATTTGTGATCTCCAAGAAAGAGGAAAGTCTCAGGCTATCCCTCTAGATTGTTCCTTCACAGCTGGTTTAGTGGTAACAGCATGAGTTTGGGAAGGGCAGAGCGGAGGTCCCATTCAAATCCCGCCATCTCTCAGCTGGGTGGCCTGGGAGCATCTTTTAACACTGAAGTGTCAGCCACACTGGCTGAAACTCGGGGACAACTGTCAGTACTTGGCATCGTTGTAAGGAGGGCTCAGACAATGTGTAGAAAACATCTGGACCTTTGAAGAGTTCTCTAAATACAGATGTTGTTATTATTACCCCAACTTTCTTCCTCAGGAACTCTTCTGACCAACTGGGAGATAGCAGACAAGCGTGAGGAAATCAGCTGTGGCTACAGACAAAGTTAGCCCGATAGACTCTTCCAGAAGGTGCCAAAACCAGGGGACCTCACCATCCCAAGGTGCCCAAAGACATCCTTTGGGAGAACATTCTGCCAGAGCAGACAGCTGTCCCCACAGCACAGAGAAAAGAGAAAGCAATCATGCCGTATCAGCTCTCAGCCCACGTTTACAAGAACAGGGGTGGGAATCCCCTAGGCAGTTGGACAGACGCCCACCCAAAAAAAAAAAAAGGCATTTCTATTCTTCTGATTAAAATGTGACCTCTTCTGGCAAACAAGTTTGAAACCATCAGCAGTGACAAGACATAATGTCCCCAAGAATATGGTCACATCTAGAGCCACGCTGGTCCATAAAGCAACAAGTTATAAAAGTTCTGCAGGTGGCTATGGGGTCAGAGAGGGCATCCAGGTCCTGAGAAGGAGGTGAGGTCCTGTGAGCACCCAATGTAACCTTTTCATCCAATAGCCCCAACTGCCCCCTTGTGTATGGAAAAGGGGTGAAGTGTGTGGAATGGTCATTGGGCTTCAATTTGAAAACCGTAGGCTCCAGCCAAAGGCTTTTCTCTAACTTGACCTGGCTGAGCTGTTTGAAACTCTCTCTGAGATTCTCCTCACGTGCAAAGTGAATGGAGCTCGTGTCCCAGAATTCTAAAACAGTCCCTTGCGTTTATAAACACGGGACAAATTTGGGAGGAGCACCTAATGAGAGAAATGAAACGACACCACCAAGTTCCTCCCAGAAAGTAACTTGGCAGGGGGCACATTCCTATGGGTCTCTCCTGCTGGAAAGGCGGGAGACTGTCCACTCCTTGGGGAAGGAGCTGTGTGGGGGACAGGGAGCGGGGCCAGAGCACAAGAGAAAGGTTAGTGTCTGTGGATCTGTCTATTGAAGGACATGTTCCTGTTCACTAGCGTTTTGCTCACCCCCTTAGTACAAGGTTCATGAACTAGAGTTCATGTTCCAGGAGCATCCTGAAATGAAAAGCAATATTTTGTTTGTATGGGAATTTTTCCAGAAAGTGATCAACACCTTCTTGGAGGGATTTTTAATGGATTTATAACCCCAAAATTGTTAAAGACAACTCTCTTGGTGATTTATGAGGAAAAGAAAAGAGAAAAGAAAGTAAGAGAGCTGGCATTAAGAGGGAGAGTAAGTCATACAATATAAAAGCTGGACCAACTTTAGAAATCATCTAATCCAGCCCCGCTTGGTTCAAAAATGGAAAAACTGAGGCCCAGAAAGGCACCCCAACCCCAGCAAAGGGGTCTTATTTTACTCTGCAGAGAAAAACCACGGTTAGATCATAAGACCTCAGCACATGGACAGCCCCGCCTGAATTTTCAATGAGATCACCTGCAAGATTCTAAACAGCCTATGGTTCTAATACAATGAAGATCCATAATGATCTATTAAACACTAACAAATTAATTCCACCAAATGCTGAGCCAGGAAAAATTTATAAGCCCAGTCACATGTTTATAACTTCCTCTTCCTTGATTTTTAGGTAATAATTCTCTTTATGGGCCAAGTCCTATCTGGAGTTAATCTCTACCCTATAAATGAGTCCGGGGGTCAGGCTTCCCAGGTGGCAGGTGATAAGAGGTTGCCCTGGGCCCAACCAACCCGATTCCAATTCCGGGATGTACCTGCCAGGTGGTGCAGGACTCGCCTACTCCCACACCTCTCAGGGCCCCTGGGCATCCGCCCTGGCCGCCACGAGACCCAAAAGCATCAGAGCCATTTCTCCCTCTGGCCCTAATCTTGCTAAAATAACGAAACCACCCCTAATTCTTTACATGGAGGAACGTGCCACAATCCAAAAGGAAACTCTCAGACTGGCTCCTAACAGGTTTTAAAAAGTGTGTTATATCCCTCCATATGTTAGGGGAATCGTTCAAAATCCTGGAACATGCGGTCTCTAGTTTCCATTCCTGAAGCACTTCACAGCTCCGGGTAATACATTTCATCTTCTCACCGCAGTCTGCCCTTTGCCTTGGGGACATTTTACATAAAAATGGTCTTGTTAGTTGTGACCCCATACAGACTTCTTGCCAGGGGAGCCTGGGCTATGGTGGAAGCAAAGGACCTCAAACCTCACTCAGAAAACCTGTCATCGATCAGAATAAAAAAATCCAGTCTGCCCCTTCACAAGTTAACCCGCACAAGCAGTACTGGTTATGGGACAGCTTCACCGCTATGACCCTCCAACTATCATTCCATGTAGTGGGATTTGAGTGGGACAACGGGGGGTTTATAATAAAGGGTAAATATTTCCCTTCATTATATGAACCATTCTAAAGTCGTCCATGCAAACCAGATTTTAAGAAAAATGAGATTTTTTTAAGCATCAAAGCCTTTTAGGGGCAGCCGCATAATGATCAACGACTTGGACCTTGAGAAATAGGGGGGGGGGGGGGGCAGAAAACAGAGGGCGCTGGGGGAAGCGGCAGCGCCGGCTCGGAACCAGGCGGCAGCTGCACTAGTGCCGGCGCGCTGTCTCCTCGGCCCCCCAGAAACCTGGCGCCTGATCCCCTCCCGCCCGCCCCGGCCACCTACCTGCAGCCGTGCGCGCCCGGCCCGCCGCCCGCCTTCGGTGCTGCCGCCCGCGTTCCCACGCTCGCCCGCCGCGCTCGGGAGCTGCGGCCGCAGGCTCCGGCGCCCGCGCGTATTTAAGGTCGGGGGCGGGCCCGACACGCCACGCGCCGGTCGCGCCCGCCTAAGTGGTCGCGCGAAGGCCTCCGGA